AGGATGTGCCGATGCGGGAAATGAACAAAAAGAGTCAGAGAGGACACCACATTTTCAAGCCCTTAGCAAAAATAGGGAACTCAGGAAGAGGGCAAGTTTTGTACTTGTACAACAAAGCTTTACACGTGATTCCTCCACAGGGTAGCTGTTGGAGAGCAGGGACTCCTGTGATTGACATTTCCTTCAAATCCCCCCTCACTGCCCAACGAGGTAATCCTACATATAGACAATGACAGATGCACGGACGACAGAATCTAGGTGTGGCAAAGGTAGTTCAAGATCTGGTCCGGAGTAGGTTAAATGGTGACTTCCTGCCCCTAAAAACATGTGTACCTGGAACCTGTGAGTATGACCTTATTGGAATGGGTCTTTGCAGTTGTAATGAAGTTAAGGATCTTGGTAATTCCAGGTACCTGTATAAGAAGAGAAAGTACAGACAGAAGAAGAGACGCAGAGGGGAAGTCCATGCGAGGACACAGAGAAAAAGACCATGTAAAGACAGAGTCCGAGATTAAAGGGATACATCTACAAGCCAAGGAATGCAAAGGATTGCTGGCCATTCCCAGAAGCGAAGAGGCATGCCAGGCACACAGATCCCCTCCAAAAGACTTGTAGTGTATAAACTGATATATTAATTCATTCAATAGGCCCTCATTTATTTAACTATAAAGTCAGAGCACTAAATTAGTGACAATTTCTATCTTAAAAGTTCTAGGATTCTAAGAATGTGTCTTCTCCAGGAAGAATAAAATAGTTAAATAGGAGAAATACTCAGAAATTTAAGAGAATGGGAAATGAGGGGCACCTGGGTGGCATAGTCGGTTAGGTGTCCGGCTCTTGGTTTTGGCTCAGGTCATGATCTCAGGGTCCTGGGATCGAGCCCCAAGTCAGGCTCCATGCTTAGCTCAGAGTCTACTTGAGATTCTCTCTCTCCCTCTCCTTCTAATCCTCCCACTCATACTCTCTCTCTCTAAAATAAATAAATAAACAGATCTTTTTTAAAAAAAAGAGAATTGGAAATGATTAGAGAGAAATGCTTTGAGGACATGCTTCTTTTTGATCTATACCCTTCCTTTCTAGGGAGTAAAGCAATAAATATCACTAAATCTTCTCTACTCTAAGTCAAATCTGCCCTTGAGATGATGTACCCACAATGCTTTTATCTGATAGTCACTATCCATTGCCATGTGTTTAAGGGAGAGATGAAGCTTCGGCTGTTCAATCTTCTCCAAGATCACTTTGTTCTCTTTCCATCTCTCTGTCTTGGCTTCGCTAATTCTGAATGTTTATGTTTGTGATCGGTAGATATGGAAAGGGAACATTGCTCTGCTAACCAGGAATCTGGGCTAGCTTCTGGTTCACCAGGCATAAATGGAAATGTGTGCCAAGTCATTATATCAAGTGGATTCCATACTAAGCAGGATGCACCTTGAGGAACCAGAGAGATCCGGGGAGGAATGGCTACCCAAAAATAGCAGTTTTATAACAATATTTAAAGGACTTAGTATAGAACTGGTTAATCAAATGGCAAGGGCAAAGGGTAGCAGTAAATACCCTTATTTTATTATCTTGTTTTCCAGGGTGCCTTAATTTTCAAGAAATGGCTTTGTGGGTGTATTTTAAAAAACTACTTAGAAGAAAGCCACTTCAAACTGTGTTTAGAAGCTAAATAAATACAATAGTCCCCAGAACAGAGATGCAGCGGGCATTGTACTACATAAATCAAAGTAAAATTAGGGGTCTTAATTGACTCATGGGTATGACCACACACTTCTGTAAAAGTGCTAATTTTAATAAACCACGGTCACTGAATGACATTCCTAATAAGTCACTTAGTGAGTGGGTATTAGTGCAGAATTCAAATTATTTGAGTTTAACCTTCAACTGCTATACATTTTGCAGATGCCTATTTACTTTTACTTTGTTTATGTGAGGGAAAATCATGGTATGAAATGGATGGGGCTTTGGTCTGCTAAAGGTGCCTTTCAGACATATTTTGCCTACAAAATATTCTACTTATCAGAAGCCAAAACACTCCCACAAGGAAATGTCCTACATCTGAAGGGGAAATGACCCTGCCCTTCAAATTCCTCTATTTGATGATCTTCTCATTAAATAAAATCAATATTTTACAGTTTTGGAATGAAATTAGGCTCCTTCTATGTAACCTTCTCTAGGTTTTGCTAAAGAGAATTACAATAAAATATGGGAAAATGGATGTTCCATGAGTGACTCTAGACAAAAGTAGGCCTGGCACATCCACAGTTCCCACCTGCCATCTCCTTCTACCCTAAAGGTCTCCCAAGAAGAGACTTGGGGACTGTAAGTCATCTATAGCTGCTTCTTATTAAGGACTATGGATATCCCAAGAATGCCTCTATTATTTATAAGGGATGGTATATGATAAGGCTGTTATGGCAGAGACTAGCCTTTCTAGTCAGGATATATTTTGACTTAAAGTACTGATTACTTCATATCCCTGAGACCAGGATTTAGGAAGTACTTGTAGTGATGATATACATGGTTGGAGCTAGAAAGCTGTCTGAGCTCAGGGGAACTCTAGGTCCCACTACTCTCTCTGTCTTTCATGAATAACGTCATCTCTCTCATGGAGTCTCTTCATCTCCCCACATTTTTTCTCCCCATTCTTCCCATCAATTTTACTTGCTCATAACATCTGCTTGCTCGTGCCAGAGGTATGCCCAGGAGTCACCACAGCTGTCTCAGACTCACTCTACTGAAACCTTGCTGCTTCGAGATTCACAGCTAATCACCCTTTTGTTTGTTTGGGTTTCCTAGTTCAGATTACATGGAAAGGAAATTTGATTGGCCTAGCTTAATATTCTCTTTCCTTTTGTTTTTAAACCAAGTTTTATAAAGAAATTCACAACAAAATTTATCATTTTAAGTATACAAGTCAATAATTTTCAGTAAATTTATGGAGTTGTGCAACCATCACTATAAGCCAGTTTCAGAACATTTTCAATACAAAAAACTCCAGTGGGACTTTCTGCCTCCAGCTTTAAGACAATTACTTATGTGGTTTCTGTCCCTATTAGAATGTTCATTCTGGATATTTCATATAAATGGAATGATAGAATATGTAATGTTTTGTCAAAGGCTTCTTTCACTGAGCATAATGGTTTTGGGGTTCATAGTGTTATAACGGTATCACTAATTTGTTTCTTTAAATTGCTGAGTAGTAGTCCAGTGTATGGATATCCTATGTTTTAGAATATTCCAAATCCATTTCAAATGGAAAATCCAATGGAATATTCCATCTCACCAGTTCATGGGCATTTGGATTGTTCCCAGTGTGACTATTATGAATAATGTTACTTTGAATATTATTTCAAAAACCCCTGTCTTGATTACTATAGCTTTAGAGTAAGTTTTGAAGTTGGCTTATGCAAGTCCTCCAACTTTGTTCTCCCTTGACAAAACTGTTTTGGCTATTCTAGGTCTTTTTCATTCCCATGTATTATTTAAGATAAGCTTATCAATTTCTAATGATTTGCTGTGATTCTGTGATTCTGATATGGATTGAATTTAATATATTAATCAATTATTTATCAACTTGGGGAGAATTGCTATCTTAAAATATTGAGTCTTTCAATCCATGAATATGTAGTGTCTCTCCATTTATTGAGACATTTAATGTCTCACAGAAATATTTTTTAGTTCAGGTTGCAAATCATGTACTTCTACTGTTAATATATTCCTAAATATTTTATTCTTTCTGATACTTTTGTAAATGTCACTATTTCCTTAATTTTATTTTTGGATTGTCATTGTTAACATACAGAAATATGATTTATTTTTGTATATCTTATATTGTGATAGGAAATACTCTATTAGTTCTAGTAGTTTTATTGTGGATTTTTTTATTTTCTACATAAAGATGTAGTCTGCTAAGAAAAACTGTTCTGTTTTTTCCTTTCCAATCTGCATGAATGGATCTATCTACCTACCTACCTACGTCTCATCACCTTATTGTACTATCTAGTTATAATTTTGAATAGAAGTGGTAAGAATGGACATCTTTGCTGTGTTCAAGATCTTAAGAGGAGGAAAGCATGAAATATTTAACTATCTAGTATGATGTTTGCCATAAGTTTTTCATAGATGTCCTTTTCAATTTGAGTAAGCTACATTTTCTTTCTAGTTTATTGAGATTTCTAATTAAAAGTGGGTGTTAAATTTTGTCAAATGCTTTTTCTGCATCTGCTGATTCTACTAATATAGTGCATTGCTGTCCTTGATTTTCATTTATTAAAGCAGTCATACATTCCTGGATAAATTTCACTTATTTATTTTTTCTATCCCTTCTTATATGTTACCAAAGTTAGTTTGGTAAAGATAGTTGCATCAATGTTCATGAAGGATATTGGTCTATGGTTATCTTTACTTGCTTTTTCTTTTCATTCTTTTCTAGCTTTGGTACCAGGATAATGCTGGTCTCAAATAATGACTTGTGCAGTGTTCCCTCCTCCTCTTCCTGAAAGGGTTTGAGAAGAACTGGTATCATTTCTTTTGAAAATATATAGAAAATACATAGAATTCACAATTGAAGCCATCCTGCTGGAAATTTTCTTCATGGGACCATTTAAAATTTCTAATGCAATGCAATATCTCTAATTGTTTTTGTATCTTTTCAGATTAGCTATCTTTCTGAGTCAGTTTTAGCAATTTGTTTCTTTCTAAGAATTTTCCCATTTCATCAAAGTTTTCTAATTTGTCACCAAGCTCACTTTTTGTGTCAGGTGATATCATAGATTACTGCTTGGCCCTAATCTTTCTTGGCACCCACCTATTTGTGGTTATGGAGGGATAAAGTTTCACGGTACAAAGCTAAGTTGCCAAATGGTTGTCCCATTTGGTAGAGACTAGAGAAGACACGTTGGGCATGGTTCTTCAGTAGCTATGGGCTGGAAAACATTCCGAGTTTAATGCTATCCACCACACAAATTAAATATTTCAGCATAAATTTGTATACTTACTTTTGTGTTGGGAACTTTGTAATGTTGAAGAAGCATTTGAAAGTGGGATCTTTGTCACTGTTGTATTTGTGATGGTGAACTCGGTCTTTGTGACATCACTGGTTGTGGTTCCTAATTATGTAAAAACAATAAGCAGCCATCAGGGGTGTAACCAATAAATAGATAGTCTTATTAGTATTAATATTAACATCCAGTTATGACTTGAATATTAGTTACTGAAAGTCTTCTGATCAAGTTTTAGAAATCCAACATTTTGGTATTTACCTTTTGGTGATCCAGTTAATTATATTGAGAAAACAGAGGCATATTAGACTCTTTTATATGTCTGCTGTAGTTTATCTCATTTGAGCAGACAGTAATCTTATTAATTAAGTAATAATTGTGATCATAATTTTATGTATAAGATTCAGAAAAGTTGATTTCCCCATTGTCACATAACTTGTAATAGGAGAGAGCCAGGATCTGAATCCAAGCCTTTCTGATGCAAAAGTTAATCACTCAGCTACCCTAGAAATGGGGTGGTAAGGAAGTAGTACTAGTTGAAGATGGTACCATGGTTCCCATGCGGTCTGGGAAGGAATTTTCAGGTGGGGGAAACAGACAGCAGGAAAGGGATAATAGGAACTCCATAAAATAAACTTTTAATTATACTTAGTTCATTTTTTGGAGGGGGGGAAGGATAATTAACAACAAAGAAAAGATAACCTGAGATTTCGAAAATAACATTGGAATAAGATTATTTGAAACAATTTATATTTGCACAAATATTATAAAAACAAAATGATTAATGCCTTTCAGTCTTTTCAAAGTCTAATGTGGATAATATTGGTTAGTGAAGAAAAGACAGGCATGCTGGTTAGTGCACGCTTAATATTAGCTACATATGATGCTGGCTGGAGATGGGAGGAAGTCAGTTTAATAGATTTAATAGATTTCTGTCACACAGTAGACAGAAAGACTGAATTGCTGGTGTTTTCCAGAAGTGCTGATCAGCTTCCGTTCTATGGCAGCAAGCATCTATACTTTGTAACACAAAGTCTTAGTGCAATTAAGAGACTGATGCCGGAGAAACTGTTAGTTTGCAAGAAGACCTCAGAGACAGTGGGTGTGTCTTTACACAAAAAGCCTTCAGGAATTGGTATGCCAGCAAAATATAAACATAAGTTCAAATATAGGCTATAGCATTAACACCGCATATGAGAAAGAAAGAGTTGAAATGGGCAAAACTTTGGAGGCATCTTGAAGTACTAAATTGAGAGAGAAATAATTGATAAAATAAAGAAATATCTTATTGTAGCAGACATTGATGTTTGTGATAACATGGAAGTACAAAAGATCACCCAAAAGGCAGAAACTCAACACTTGAGGATGAAGGGACATGTGGGGGTAAAGATTTTGCTTCTCACCAGAACTCCAACATATTTTTGGAAAACATTAGAATAGGATTTCCTCTTTAGAAATTTTTGGAGAATTCTTCTGCTGAGTTAAAATAGAAAACCATGAAAAAGCTATCCTGATGGCCGAAAGGATTCCCTAGCATGAGGCAGACTCAACAGTCTTGGACACGGAAAAGAGAATTTATATTTAAGAAAGATGTGGGAAACTGACAGATTAGAAAAAAAAAAAAAAAGAAGAGAGGAGAATAATGGAATAGCTGGGGATATATTGCCAAAGAGTTTGCTTTGAGAATTGTCTATTATTGATGTGGAATATACTTCACAAATGAGTGTAAAAGGGGAGCCCACACTCAACTCAGGACAGGTTGTCAATTACAGTGTCCTGGAGGCAACGGAAAGAATCTTGAATGCTTTAAAGGTAACCAAAATATTTTTAAATGCACATGCATGGTGGACCTAAAACAAACAGAAGAGAAGATGCGGAGACAAATGCTGCCACAGCCATAAATTTTGAAATTGTACAGAGTATAGTCTTTTCAACAAAAGGTGTTAGGACAACTGGATGATTATACATGAAAAAAAAAATGAAGCTGGACATCTAACTCACACCATATACAAAAATTAAAGACTTAAATAGAAAAGTTAAAACTATAAAATTCTTAGAAGAGACCACTGGCATAAATCTTTGTGACCTTGAGTTGAGCAATGGTTTCTTAGATTTGACCCCACTGACTGAAGGAAACCAGAATATGTCACCCTGAAATATGCCTCTTTGACATAAAAATTATTTGGAAATGCAGCCAATAAAGAGGCAGCCAATACAGAAAAAGCTTTTCTGCTTAAGGGCAGGATATAAATTCTCCTTTTACTGGAGATAGACTCTTTATCAGCCCGGAGAAGACACTAGAGGAATCTGCAAACAAACCTTATTCCATTAGTTTCCTTCCAGATATTTACCTTCCATTTGTTTGTCACCCTTGGAAGCCTAAACTACTTTCTTTTGTCTGGTCATTTTTCTACAAACTTACTGTTCTTTGTTCTAGATGCTATATAAGCCAAAATTCTAAACTATTGCTTTGAGTTATTCTTTGTTTTAGGTTTCTCATATGCTGTGCACTGCCCATGTTAATAGACTGTTTTTTGTTAATCTGTCTTGCGGTTAATGTCCCATCTGAAAACCTAAAATGAGTAGAGGTAAAGTTCTACCTTCTCTCCATGAAAGAAAAAATATAGATAAATTTTCCTTCATCAAAATTAGAGATTATAGTGCTTCAAAAGATACCATCAATAAAATGGAAAGACAGCATACAGAGTGGGAGAAAATACTTGCAAATTATCTATCCAATAAGGCTCTAGTCTCCAAATATATTTAAAAAAATACTTACAACTCAACAATAACAGACAACCCGATTTTTATAAAAAAGGAAAGAATTAAATAGACAGTTTTCCAAAGAAGATATAAAATTGTCAACAAGTCCATGAAAAGATGTTTGCCATCATAAGTCATCAGGGAAAAGAAAATCAAAACCACAATTAGATGTTACTTCACATCCACTAAAATGGCTATGATGAAAAAGACAGCAACAAGTAGGGATTAGAAAATGGACAATTAATGCCCTCTTACTTTTCTGGTGGGAATGTAAAATAATACAGCTGCTCAGGAAATCAGTTCCTCAAAAATTTAAACAGAGTGCTATGTGCCTCAGCAATTCCACTTTAAGATACATATCGCAAGAGAAATGAAAAGACATGGCCACATAAAAACTTGTATAAGAATGTTCATAGCAGCATTATTTATAACAGCTGAAAAGTAGAAATAACTGAAATGTCCATCAACTAATAAATAAATAAATAAATAAATAAATAAATAAATAATGTGGCATATCCATACCATGAAATACTCTTCACTCATAAAAACGAATGAACTACAGATAAATGCTAGAGCATGGATCAACCTGAGAACATGATGATATGTGAAAGTCAGACACAAAAGATTATATACAATATGATTCTACTTATGTGATTTTTTTATATGAAATTTCTAAAATAGGCAAAGGGACAGAGAGTAGGTTAGTTTTCTCTGGCAGGGGGGAAGGAGGAAATAGGAAGTGATTAGTAACAGATACAGGGTTTCTTTTTGGGGTGATGAAAATGTTCCAGAATTAGATAGTGGTGATGGTTGCACAATCTTGTAAATACACTGAAAACCACTGAATTGTCCACTTCAAAAAAGTAACTATGATGGCATATGAATTATATATATGAAAGAAAAATGATGCAAATGATCATTACTCACCTTCACCTTTAACTGTTGCCGTTAAAGAAGAATGTGTTGGCTGCAAAGATGTACTTGAGAGTTTCTTACTGGTTGTTCCTAGTTTGATAAGATAGATGACATGATTATTAATCACAATTTCATCTCACCTGTCAAAGAATAAATAAATGTCAGTCAAATCTGGAGGTAAACTAGAATCCCTCTACAGTGGTACTGTCAGCTTTTGCCTATCTTTAATTTTTTTATTTCCTATCTCCTTTTGTTCAAAGTAAGGAATTTAAGTACTGAACGCTTGGGTGACCCAGTGGAAACACAGACACACAGACACACAGACACACACAGACACACACAGACACACACATTTTTTTCTATGATAAGCCCCCAAAGCAAATTTTCACTGCAGATTGTTACTTGGATATCTTAAAACATGCAAAAAATATATATTTCAAAACACATGATTTAAAATTATACTATTTTTCCTAGAGAGAAAAATAACCTGGTCAATAGGACCTTTTATCCCCCCAGAATTACATTTCATTTTGTTGATTTGATTATGACACTGGAACTTCCAAAATTACATAAATTATAAAGGAGCTTGCAAATTCTTGTAATTAATTTGTTCATTTATGAAACATTCATTGAGTTCCCACTCTGTGCAAGACCCTTTTCTAGACCATTGAGGGCAGTATCAAACTCTTAAGTCATCTTTTTAATCTGAGTAGCATCAAGGATCATTCCTGGCATATGGTAGGCATGTAATAAATGTTGTTTTCTATAAGCTGGCACTCGTACAGAACATGGGGACCAAGAAAAGGACAAAGATTTGCTTTAGGTAGTGAATACGACTTATCAATTTGATAGTCATACTAGTCAACATTCCCTTCTTAAAACACTTTAGGATATCCTTTTGCGATTAGGGCATACGTTCTATTTTTACTGTGTGACATATATAAAATCTTCAGTTCTTAAAGGTATGCACACTGTATTGGGGGAGGAACAATTTGGCTCTGCGCAGTTTACTGCTTTAAAACCCATCCAGAGGAAAGTTTTCAAGGCTAAGCTGGATGGAGCTGTATATCAGGAAAAACTAAGGAATCACAAGGAAGATAAGACCTTTGGAGGGTCGCTGAGGACAAATGTCTCCAAGCAGGTGTTGGAGGTTTTCTCTTCTGCTCCTCTGTCCTCACTGCTTATTAGAGGACATAGGTTATTATACAAATGGAAAGAGGCTGTTAACAAGTAGATTATGGGAATTATAATGTGGAGAGTGCTGAAGCACTTAAGACTTTCTCAAACCCAATATGTGGTTATATTTTAAAAGAAGAGACCAACAAAGGATACGTTATTCCTAAAAGCTAGGTTTGAGATTTTGCATTGCCCACTCACAGGGATGCCATCTTTTTAAATTTTTTTTTCCTTTTCTTTTCTTTCTTTTCTTTCTTTCTTTCTTTCTTTCTTTCTTTCTTTCTTTCTTTATTCTTCCTTTCTTTCTTTCTTCTTTCTTTTTTCCTTCCTTCCTTCCTTCCTTTCTTTCTTTCTTTCTTTCTTTCTTTCTTTCTTTCTTTCTTTCTTTCTTTCGAGAGAGCACGCATGCAAGCTGGGGGGAAGGCAAAGGGAGAGGGAGAGAAAGGATCCCAATCCCAATCTCCATGCTCAGTGCAGAGCCCAACGTATGCTCAATCTCATGACCCTGAGGTCATGACCTGAGCCCAAATCAAGAGTTAGATGCTTAACTGACTGAGCCACCCAGGTGGCCCCAGAATGCCATCTTAAGGTGAAGATGTAATGATATAAATGAAGTGTCCCTTCCAGCTAGACATGGTGAATTTGTTTCACTTCAGCACTACTCTTGGCACTATTCTTGGTACCAATAACAGGCTGAATTGAATTTTTTTTTTTAAAGATTTTATTTATTTATTTGAAGAGAGAAACACAGCGAGAGAGGGAACACAAGCAGGGGGAGTGGCAGAGGGAGAAGCAGGCTTCCCGCGGAGCAGGGAGCCCAATGTGGGGCTCGATCCCAGGACCCCGGGATCATGACCTGAGCCGAAGGCAGACACTTAACGACTGAGCCACCCAGGCGCCCCTGGTTGAATTGAATTTTTACAATTACCTTGTTTCATATGTTTCACTGGGATATGTCTCCTATTTCACTTGAAAATTCAAGAATAAGGATGACTACAGGAAATAATTAGGACAGATATAATGATAATCATGAATACAAAAAGAAAAAGTATCAAGTGTGTGCAGTTCTGGAGTTTCTGAAGCCCTTGAACCTTTTCTTTTATAGCTATCCTGACTTCATGTTTGGTAGAAGGAAGATATGTAACGAATTTGAGCTTTGGCCCAAGCATTCAGCCCAAATCTATTTGGCTTCAATTTCAGCCTTGATCTTCGGAAAACTGAAGGGCTAAATGGCTATCCATTTCTGGTATTCCTGAGCTAGTGTGTGAACAGTGATCTTGTGATCATGCCCATGATCATTGTATCTAATCAATGTTACTATATCTATAGCAGAAACAGAATACAATTGATTTTAGATTTATTGTTAATGTATGAATATTCACTCTCAAATATGGACAAGCATTCTACATATAACTTATAATAAAATTCTTATGTACTAAATATGTTGAAATTCTGAAGTATAAATGCATCCTTATTATTGTAAAAGCAAAATGTTGCACTAACTAATGAGGATTGTGATTTCTGTTAATTTTATGTGCAAAACAATGATTAAGGACTTATTCTAGTTAATAAAAGAAATATATTGAATTTAACATGAACAATAAGAGAATACTATAGCCACATATATTTAGGGATGTTATATAATTTTGTGTCAACAGATGTTTATAAAAGATTAAATCATTAAAATGTCATAATTGTACTCTGTAAAATTTTTAGTAAACTCTCATCCATAACATTTTCCAAAATAATCTTTTGGAACTGTGTTTAATTCCATTTAGGACATCAGGGTTTCAAAAAAATGTCTAATTTATAAACATTTTATATCTTGTGAGTATAAACTAAAAGCAAAATGCCAACTTTATCATTTCAAAATTCCATGAAAAGGAAAAACCAAAGAATCTTGTACAAAGATATCCCAGGTAAGTCATTTTCAGTTCAAACTCAATAAGGCATATAAAAACAGTGAAAAAAAAAGAAGACAGATATGGGGAAAAATATGGTACCCAAACCTATTTTCCCACAAATATTATGAGAAAACTTACAAGACTGCCTTTTAAAAAGTCCCTTCTTTTCAATTTTATCTTAGTTTCTAGAGACGATGTGCATTGTAAACATGACCATAACTGGCACCTTATATGGAAGAGGTGGCCAAAAACACTGGGCTCCTCTACTGACCTCAGTTGAAACTGAACACCTATTTAGTATCAGAAATGCGAAAGATCAGTGCTGACAAATTAATTCAGCTAATTAAAAAATGTTTGACTATTAAATGCTTTAAAAATCAAGCTGAATAATAATTATGTTTTAAGAATGAAATTTCAGGTTTATTTTTCTATCTTAGAAGTTCATCTCATGATGATGACATTCAATGTTTGCCAAGTGTTGATGTTAACTCTGGCCCTTGGCCTTTGAACAGAACGGGCAGTGCACTTGATCCGTAGCTAGGAAGCGATCAGGTCCCATCTGTCTAACTGGGTAAACCTCTGAAAGCAAACCCCACTGCAAGCAAAGCTCTCAGTCACCTCTGCCGCTGTTGCACGTCACTACAAGAAGAGTTCCCACCTCAGTGGCACATTTTCCACTTTTCTGATGATGGAATTTCTGCCATTGTCAAGAGAAAGAAAATTTACGTGCTTTAGATAGACATAAGCACTATTAACTCAAGTATCTTTTGACCTTTAAACAAGAACATCTGGTTGGAAAGCCTTAAAAGAAAAATAAAGCTGTTTCCTTTCCAAGCTGGGCAGGTAAGATGCATTCTCGGTATCAGAAATGACAATTCTGCCTGAATTCCTTCACTGAACCCTCCATCTCTTCCTTTCATGATCACTTAACATAATGGTTAGGGTCTGTGTTATTTGGACACATAATCTACTTGTTATTCACCACAGGTCACTGTGGTCAGGGCTAGGAATCATCTCATTGAGAAAGCATAAGTCCCAAGGATTAATGTAAAAATTGCAAAACTTCAACACTTTGAGTCAACATGCAATATCAGCACCTACCTTCTCTTTATTGGTTCTTTTGGGGTGATGTTTTTGATTACCAAAGTAACATGCTTTTACCAAATGAGTGCAATTTTATGCTGAGAACTCAGCTGGCAACTCACAGATAGAATGACAGAGAGAGAGAGAGAAGCAGCAAATACTTATACTTTGTAAAAGTGCGAGCATGCCTCTCTGCTTAAACCCTGAAAACATAGGGTTGAAACAATTTTTAAAAATAAAATAAAGGGCAGACAGTCTCCCTTCTGCTGTCCTACCCACTGCTCTCTTGCAGTGTATTCAATAAACTTCCATCTCTTAAAATAAAATAAAATATAAGAGAAGAGAAAAGAAAAGAAAAGAAAAGAAAAGAAGAGAAGAGAAGAGAAAAGAAAAAAAAATACAGAGCAGGAGTTGGCTGGAGGCTCTATGGTCCCTGGCTTTTTTGACTGTGTCATTTGGAATTTCCCTTGATTGGCGATATAGGTCATACCACATTCTGGGAACAAAATCCCCTGTGCTGCCCTCTTTGTGTAAAGCTTTCTCCCAGTTTGGTACAGAAATTCTAGGAGAATTGGTTTGGCTTCATCTTAGAATTGCACATTTCAGAAATAGTGGACTATATTCATCAGACCCTTTTTCTTTGAGGATCACCACCCCAGTTAAGTCTCATGAACCAGCCCTCATTGGTCCTCTACATTTTACTTGAACTTGGTCTTAGAATGAAAATTAAATGAGGAGTAAGTGGAGAGGCGAGGAAGAGAGCAGGAGGAATTTCAGTTATCTCCTCGTTAGGATATACGATTTTCAGGTCTTCCAGTGACCTTAGCATTCTAACCGGAGTTTCTGCCCATAAGCAACAAACAAGTAATTCTCTATTTCTCTCTCCATTGATTATAGAACCTGAACGATATGCCTCATTTTATGTGTGTTGCAGGATGGACAATGCCGGACGCATTAGATTGATAACCTCTTGGGTTTTTAATTAAATGACCCCAGTGGCTTATTTTACTTTTCATGGATGGTAAGAATACCTAGAACCATAAAACATGATGCAGTTGCCACTCAATCCAGTAAACAATAATGATGACATTGCTACCGAACCTTACAAATTTAATCTATTATCAGCCCAATATAACTAACAAGATCAGTGTGTTATTAATACAGTTTCACCTTGTTAACGGTGCTGCTTAAGTGGACAATTGGTATATTTAGAAACATATTTTTATGACTAAGGAAATGGTAACTTTTTTATTCTCTAAAAATAAACTTCGTGTTTGTAACATTCACAATAGGATTATTCTCAAACAGGAAATGATCCAAAGGGATATCATCAAAGAAGCGCACTGTGATCTCAGGGTTCTGTATTCAACCCAAAATAACATAAAAGTTTCAAAATAGCAAAATAGCACAGACCTTCATAACAATAGATATAAGATCTCAAATTATTTTTCAGTGATTAAATTAAATAGATGCTACTAATATCTGTTAAAGTTAGAGTAAATTTCATTAAGAGTTAATCGTACCTATAGACATTGCAGCTGTCGCTTCCATAACAGGATTTGACACTGTGGTTGGTTTCAATACAGATGTTTTTGTTGGAGAAATTGTTGCTGATGGTAATACATGAGTGGTTATACTGTTAACATCTGCAAAAAGGAAACTGTGTTAAAGTAGCTGCATTAAAGTTTACATTTATTTTGCCAAATAACAGACTAGTATATTTAAGCAAAGTAAACTGTATGTATACTCCTGCTATGCCAGTAAGTAAGGCATGGATTTGAAATTAATTTTCTAATTGTAATAAATTCAGCCTTCGGTTCAGTATTCATTCACTAACTCCATCTGCTTCTCACCAATGGCATGGATTTTCAAGATAGCTGTCAGAAGCAGTCTATAGCGAAACAAAATGCTATCTGACAAAACTAGTGAGAAATACTTGTACAAATTTGAAATTTAACAATATTTTTAAGCCAACTTAATGAACATTGTCAGATGAAATAATTAAATGGACGTTCTCTGGGCAGTGGATGTTTTACTAAATATTTTCATAGCACATTGAAATTATTAAGTAGTAAAATGTCAGTATTAGTATATCTCTTCCTGATATAAAGCATTTCTCCCTACTTTCTCTCTCTTATATATTCCAAAGGGAGACAATAAATTTTATTTTTTTGTTTTTTTAAGAAAGACAATAAATTTTAAAGAAATTCAACATTGCAACATGCCTAAATTTCTGACAATGGAACCATCATAAATCTGCATTTTCAAATGATTTATTTCTCTAAATTGTAACAGTCAAAGGCACCAAAATGAAGGTGATACATTGTTATGTATATTACATGTTTACTTTTAATAATACTTCTTTGGCAATAGAAAGTCAATATTTAATAATAATTCTTAAAATTCCCATTGAAATATTATTATTTTTTCAAAGTGAAGTATGTAGGACTTAATTCTCAGTGATTTATGGAAATATTTGTTTTACATACTATTACTGAATTTATTAGCATTTATAGAATCCTTTTAATCCTGCATTTGTTAGTCTTGTCTCTATACACTACTGTTGCACTGAAGATCAGAAAATAACAAACAAACGTGTACAAAGGACTTAGACAAAGTATTCACGTCCATGGAAGGCATTGTTTTCGCGTTGTTACTTTGTCTGTATAGAGTATATATAGTATAGTACATTAGTTAAGGGGATGGACTTTGAGTGACAAAGACTTATGTTATCCCAGTCAAACTGGATATGTCATTACAGTAAATACATATCATTAATATGACTTTTCAAATTTAAATTTTATCCAAAATTTTCCTCTTTGAATCCTCTTTTAATCTTGCATGTGAGCGAAAAGCAATATTTCAGATGTCAGGAGATAGAGCGTACTTCCTATTTCATTTTATAGACCTCAGGTGCTTGGAAGTGTTAGCACTTAGCACTGACTTTGTTTATAGACAGTACACAGAAATCACTTGATGTATTCAGCACATATAGATGTTTCACCACATTCAGGAATGACAGAAGTGCCTTTTCACAGGCTTTACAGAAATCAAGTCAAAAGCTTTTTTCACCTCTGGATACACTTCACACCCTTGCTCTCACCACCCCCTCCCCACTCCCCCTGCAGGGAGAAGGAACACAGCAAGCATGCATGATGTTATCTTTTCTGTATTAGTCATTTTGTTATCCTTATCTTTGTTTGCATCCTAGAGTCTATGATGTAACACTGATTTCTAAGTTTAAACTGATGTTGAAGAAAGTAATTCAAAGAAGCACATACCACTTTAACTGGAAAATTCACCTATAAATAACTTAAATGATCCCTATCTGTTGACTTGCTAAATAGTAACAAACTCAATTTCTGGGTATAATCAACATCTCAGAGACTTTTTTTTTTCCTCCCTTCCTTTTTTCCTTTTTCTCTCTTCCACAAATACTTACTGGGTAACTGATGTGAAAGGCATGATTAGATCTAATGAAAGACTCTGTATTGTACTACATGGTATCACCTGTGAGTAGCTCTCAGTCTGGTAAGGAACATGATCCCTATACACAATAAACGACGAAGGATATTCTGTATGGGGTGTGTAGATTAGTGTTTTTCAAACTGCAGGTTATGGTACAAATAAAGAGTAATTAAGATCTAATTAGTAGATTGCAGTTAGAACTTTTGCCAAATGAAAGAGAAAAGAAACATTAGAAGGATATTGCAAATAATGAGGGTAAGTATTGTTTCATGAAGTTCACGTGCACGTGTATGTGTGTATGTGTATTTGAATAAAACATGCATCAGTGCAAAATATGTTTCCTATTGTGATTCCAGTTAAAAATTTGAAAGCTACTGGACAAGAAATTGGGCAAGAGTTTACAAGATAAAGGATGACCACCCTGATGTCATGAGCAAGGGCTCCTTTATGAGAGAGTTGACATAGGAGCTAGAGTTTGAAGAGTAAGTAGCATGTCCACAAGGCTAGAGGAAAGAGCATGGTCAAAGGTCTGGAGGAGAAGTGAGAGGTAACTGAAAGAATTGCAAACAGTTGTGTTTGGCTGGATTGCTCTATGCTATGAAAGGACATAGTGGGCCTTGTCTGGCACGATACTGGAGGCTAGATCATAAAGGACTTTGAACACCAAACGTGGGACTTGGGACTCTATTAACAAGTCAGTGAGGAGCCCTGGAAAGTGACCAAATAGAAATTCTACTGTAGGAAAAACAATGGGGAAACGGGTGGGGTGGGACAATGAGAGGACACCAGCTGAACTGAATGGCAAGTCCCCATTTTTATGTTTACCAATGTCTCTGACCTATTGAAGTCATCATGTGAGATCAGTGAGTTCACATCCATAAAATGACTTACGGCCAACTACAAGTAGGCACATTTTTAATTTTTTTTTTATTTTTTAAAGATTTTATTTATTTATTTGAGAGAGAGAGAATGAGTAAGGGCGAGGAGGAGAGGGAGAGAGAAGCAAACTCCTCACCTAGCAGGGAGCCCAATGCAGGGCTTGATCGCAGGACCTTAAGATTATAACATGAGCCGAAGGCAGACGCTTAATCGACTGAGCCACCCAGGTGAAGTAGGCACACTTTTAACTGCTGTGTGGTAAGATTGAGATGTACTGGAAAGCTTTTCCTCACCAGACTGCAACACGTTTGGCCACTGATTTCCCTGAGTAAAATCTTAAGCCAGTAGCACTCATTAACGTCTCCATTATTCGTTCTTCAGATTGTCCAACAGAGAGAATTCCCTCCTTCGGCAAGGACTGACAAACCACCCCTGAAAATATTGAGTGTCACTGTGTGCCAGGCTCCATGTAAGCACTTCCTGTGGATTAGCTCCTTTAATCCTAAAAAGACGCCATGATGCCAAAACTCATATGATCGCCATTGTACAGATGAGGACACTGGGGCTCAAAAAAGATAAGCAAATTGCCCACATTATGTAGTGGGAAGTAACACAGTTGGAATTTTAATCCAGGCCCCTTTGAATCCAGAGAAGATACTCTTCACCACCACAGATCTTGCTGTGGGAAGCTGGTTCCATGCAAAGCCACATACTCTCGCTCTGCCTGCTCTCTGTCTTTGACAGGGTATGATATTAAAGGGGTAGAAGTGACTAACTAGATGCACAGATGTTCTGCCCTCACATACCTAGGATGAGGAAACAGACAAAATACCTCACCGGGTTTTTTTCTTTAAAAAATCCTATCATTTTGTCATATATATATTACATACATACACATATAAAATGTGTCCATCCATAAACATCCATAAAAGGTTCAGACTTAAAGCTTTGAAAGCAATTTCCAATCTACTACAGCTATTTATAAAAATAGAGATTTACTCAGTTGGAAAACTCTGCAAATAGAAACATTCTCTTATAATACGGTGGGAAAGAATTATTCTAACTACCACTGTTGAAGGTTTTATTGACTGTGATGCAAGTAACCACCAGTTATGTTTTTACAGCATTTTCTATAAATTTCTTTTAGGTCTAATTTGATCTCATAATAAACTATTGAGGAAAATGGCTTATTCTGAAGTATTTTCTCTTCACAAGACATATGAGGTAGCATTTCACTTTTCTTTATCTCCAAAGTAATTAAAGATAAATTTAACAAGGAGACCTGTGTTTCATATCTTTGCTTATGACCAACCAGATAGTGCTCTTCTCAGGATGTTGTAAGAAAAACAGATGGCGTTTTGTCCTGATTCCACCCTATACCCATACACCAGCTGAGAGAGCGCAAGAGATACTATGACACTCAGTTTCCTAGGCTTCAAAAGGATGAAGCAGGATTGGGATTTAAAAAAAATAACTATTTTAATTACAGAAATCATGAGAACTTTGAAAATTCAGCTTCTGGCTGAAAAACCAACTATCATATTTTCTCCTCTTTTCAAATGATTAGGTCGTCTACTCCAATCTTCTTAGACATGCTTTATAATTACATTTCTAAGTAACTTACAAGTGGTCTCTAAATGTTAGAGTTTCATCCATCCTCATAATGAGAAGCTATCTCTCCAATTACCTTTTCCCCTACCAAGTCTACATTTAAGGTCCACTGGAAAACCACTACTAGAGAAGATAGATCTTGGTTTCTCTAGATCAATACAAATACTGAATGGCAGTAACTTAGAATTATAAAACTTGAGACCTCAAAAGAACTTTAAAAATCCCACTGTAATAGAATCCCTACATTTTATAGCTTAGAAAATGTATGAGTTTAAGGTAGTTTCAAAAGATCATAACCCAATTACTAAAAAAGGGGCTTTAATTCCTAAATGAGCACTCTATATTATGTAATATAGAAAAATCTTTTTTTTTCCCAATTCCATTTGAGCATGTGGAATACACTTCTGACAGAGACAATGAAGTTTCCCTTTGAACTATAGGAATAAATATTTACTTTGTGAGTTTTAACCATAAACAAAATTTCAGAAGATAGTTTTAAGCTCTTTAAGGAAATAAAAGAGTGATTTCTTTAGAAATATATAGAGTATATACAAAATGCTAATTACTAAATGCTCTTACAACCTTCAAAGTACCATTATTAGGTAATAACTTCAAAACCTAGATCAACTAATCTATGGAATTAAAGGCAAAGTAGGTAATTTTATATTTCAATAGCTTATAATGTATT